AAATCTTTCTTCATTTCAATCGCTCGTTCACTGATCATTCGTAACATGAAGATAGAGTTTCTCCTGCGTCCTGCGACAATTCTCCACAAAACCACATTGAAAGTTTGAAATTTCAGATCTGAAATAGTACTCGCTGAATCAGAATCAGAAGATGCAGAGCGTACATTCCTAATATAAAAAAAATTGTTCATAACGGTCTTTTATTTACTGTTAATGTGAAATTTGTTTATAAACCACACACACACACACACACACACACACACACCACAGCACACCACACACATACACATACACACACATACATACATACATAAATACATACATACACAAACACAAATATTTGTATATACATATATATATATATATATATATATATATATATATATATATATATATATATATATATATATATATATTAATCAGTTCTATCTCTATTTAAAATCGCGCTATCGATTTTGAAACAGCATAAAATGTTTGTCGAACAATCAATCAATCCATCATTCGATCATTCCATCTATCGATTACTCACTCGCTTTTTATTCATTTATTTATTTATTCATTCATTTTTTTATTCATTCATTCATTCATTCATTCATTCATTCATTCATTCATTCATTCATTCATTCATTCATTCATTCATTCATTCATTCATTCATTCATTCATTCATTGTTCATATTTTTTTTATTCGTTTGTTCATTTCAAAGTCTTTCGTTCATTTATCTATATGTTTTTAGATAATTCATTCCTTCGTTTGCTCATTCATTAATTCAATCCTTCATCTATTCAATCGTTCATTTGTTCATTCATTCATTCATTCATTTTTTAAGCAATCAATCATTCAACTTAACAAGCAGACAATTAAATGTAAATTTAACTTTTTGTTGTTTACTTGAAGACCATAATAAAATCTGCTTTAATTTATGTATGTTTGTTTGTTTTTGAATTGAATTGAAACAATCTTTTATTGTTTGTATGTATGTAGGTATGTATGTATGTATGTATGTATGTATGTATGTATGTATGTATGTATGTATGTATGTATGTATGTATGTATGTATGTATGTATGTATGTATGTATGTATGTATGTATGTATGTATGTATGTATGTATGCATGTATGTATGTATGTATGTATTTTTGTGGTTTGGTTTGTTTTAATTATGTTTTTATGAATTGTTTGTACGTATGTATGTATGTATTTATGTATGTATGTATGTATTATGTTTGTATGTATTGTATGTATCGATGCACCGCGCTCTTTGATGCTGTTGTTGATGTTGTTGTTGATGTTTTTTATCGCTTTGTATGTTACATTGTTCTCCTTTACTTGGTTCAATGAATTTTGTACCGTTAATTGCTTTGTTTGTTTGTTTGTATGTATGTACGTACGTATATATGTATGTTTGTGTGTATGTATGTATGTATGTATGTGTGTATGTGTGTGTGTATGTGTTTATTTGTGTTGTTGCTCTCCCGAGATTCGTGTTTGAAATTTAAACGCAGCGGATTAAAGTATGGTGAACGACTGAGAGAGAGAGAAAGAGAGAGAGAGAGATAGAGAAAGAGAGAGAAAAAAGAGAGAGAGAGAAAAAAAAAAGAAAAAAAGGGGAGAGAAGAGAGAAAGCGAGAAAGATTAAAGATATATATATATATAAATATATATAGTTATCATTATTGTGAACTTCGTAATAGGCATCGGTTTTATATCATTACTGTTATCAGTTTCATCTTTCATTCATTCGTATACCCACCCATCCATTCATCCATCCATTTATCCACCCATCCATCCATCCACCCATTCATCCATCCATCCATCCACCCATCCATCCATTCATCTATCCATTCATCCACCCATTCTACCATCGATTTATCCATCCATCCATCCATCCATCCATCCATCCATCCATTCATTCATCCAACAGATAGACAGACAAATGAGCAAAATGTCTCCGTGAAGTACGACGAACTATAAACAAGACAGCCAGCAACTGGCCGGCAGGTTTATCTAATGGCCAAAGCAGAAACTAAACCAACAAAAAATAATAATAGCAATAATAACAACAACAATAATAATAACAACAACAACAATAATAATAACTATAATAATAACAATAACAGCAATAATAATGAGCGAAAATATCCTTATTGCATTTACGGCTTATGTTTTATGGAAGAAAAAATAAAATGAGTAATAATAATAATAACAACTATAATAATAATTATTATTGATATTAATTATTATTATTTCGAATCACAAGTCAAGACATCCTATTACAGCAATGGTACATTTCTCTATTATACTAGACTAAAGTTTTTCATTCTTTCGTTCAGCAACCATTCAGTCGTTCGTTCATTAGTTCATTCATTCATTCGTTCATTCATTCATTCATTCAATTATTCATTCATTCATTTATTCATTTATTCATTCATTCGTTTGTTTTATCACTCATTTCTTCCTCCCTGTATCCATTAATTCATCCATTCATTATTTGATTTAGTTACTTATTCATGTAATTATTAAATCACTTATTTTTTCGTTTGTTTGTTCACTCATTCACTCATCTATTTATTCACTCACTCATTCACTCACTCATTCATCCACTTGTTCGTTCGTTCGTTCGTTCGTTCGTTCATCACATGACACAACATCAATGTCAAATGGCATGAGAACATCAGAAGACATATCCTGTTGATTCGGATTAAATAGATCAACCGATCATTCACTCTTTCATTCCTTCATCCTCGTCATATCATTCCTCCAATCTTTCGTTCATTCCTTCAATCTTACGTTCATTCCTTCAATCTTTCGTTCATTCATTCAATCTTTCGTTCATTCATTCAATCTTGTTTCATTCATTCAATTGTTCATTTATTTATCAATCATTCGTTATTTCACTCAATCTTTCATTTGATAGTTCGTTCATTCGTCAATAAACTCATCCATCAGTCAGCAGTTCATCCCAAATTTTCTCATTCGTTCATTCATTCATTCATTCGTCCATCCATGCATCCATTCAATCGATGATATGTTCATTCATTCCTTCATTTATTTGTTCATTCGTTCATGCAACTTTTTTTTTATTGCTGATAAATTTTTTAATGGTTTTATCGCGGCCGTTTCAAGTTTTTTTTTCTCATTTTAATTTAATTTAATTTAATTACTGTTTAGATTTTTTTTTTCAAATTCCCGAAAATGTTTGTCGCTTTAAATTTTTTTTGCCTCGGTTTGAAAAAAATCATCCTCTTTAATCTCTCAACGTACCAATGCAAACAAACAAACGAACAAACATACATACAAACATAAATACATACAAACAAACATATATATATATATATATATATATATATATGCATGTATGTTTGTGTGTATGTTTGTATGTATGTTTGTATGTATGTGTTTGTCGGGCATTTATACAGTCAGGGCGTACGTACGGCATCCATGGTACAGATAGGATCTCGATTTTATTACTGAATGAAATATACATGATCGTCTGGATGTATGTTTCTTTATGTCTGTTTGTTTGCTTGTATATGTACATATGTATGTATATATGTACATATACATATGTAAGTTTGCTTATGTTGTGTGTGTGGATTTAGCTACATGCATATCTGTATACTTATATCAAATACTTAAGTGTATGCATGTTGATGTGTGTACGTGTATGTATATATATATATATATATCATAAAATTTTAATTATATATATTTATATAATTATATATATTATATATAGTTATACCGTAATAACTAGCGCATACACACGCACATATATATATGTGCGTGTGTATGCGCTAGTTATTATGTATATGTATGCGTTTATGTATGTGTTTGTATGTGATTACTGCCTGAATGAATTAATTTATTGATTGACGTCACGAATTGGAAATAAATATGTAGATAATGTGTGTGAATGAGTGTGTGTGTAAAATTTGTCGGGAGACCAAGAAGTTAACCATGTTTGTACTAGCGCGGCTATAGTTACGCTTGTAACGAACAATCCATCAGCTTAATTCACTACATCAGGGCCACACCCCCAAGAATCGAACTATAGTACGAACGAATTACGAATTCAGAAACACACAATGTTAACTATTCGGTCGTTTCAAGATAATATTTTTATCGTTAAATCTTTCTGAAAATGAACAGGTTGGCTAACGAATTAAAAAAGTCAGCGGATGTGTTGTTGTCACTCGTTCATTCATTCATTCATTCATTCATTCATTCATTCATTCATTCATTCATTCATTCCAAAATTCATCATCCATACATTCCTTTATAATAATCCAATCGAAAATCAACAAGCCGACAAATAAATTAACAAAATTCAACAGTGTCAAAAAATGTTTTCAAAACAAAATGCAACCCACACACACGAACACGCACACACGCGCATAAACATAAATACATAGATACACACACGCACGCACACGCACACACACACACATCATGAATGCCTCAATTTAACATTAGTAGCTATAGTAGAGGAGGTCTTTTCTTTTGAAGATGTTGACGTTGTCTTTTGTGTGTTGGTGTACTTCTTGGAATCAGTCCTGTAAAAGGTTTTATAATTGATCGGTTGATTGATTTGTTGGCTGACTGATTGATTGATTGAATAATTAATTAATTAATTTAATTGGTTAGTTGTCTGAACCAGTGATTGATTAGCTAATTGTTTGGTTGGTTAGTTAGTAGATTGTTTGCTTGTTTGTCTGCTAAGTTGATTCGTTGAATGATTAGTTGATTGTCTGGTTGATTGATTGATAATCTAGCAATTGATTCATTAACTGATTAGCAATAAAATTAATAAATTAAAAAAGATATAATATCAAAATATCATTGACAATAAACAGCCAACCTACCAACCAACCAACCAACCAACCAACCAACCAACCAACCAACCAACCAACCAACCAACCAACCAACCAACCAACCAACCAACCAACCAACCAACCGACCGACTAAACCAACCAACTAATCAACCAACCGACCGACCGACCTACCAACCAACCAACCAACCAACCAACCAACCAACCGACCGACCGACCGACCAACCAACCAACCTGCTCATCCTGACTTTATCCCTACATCCTTTTCCGCCTTCCCAGTGGGAAGTGAACTTGTTCGTAATGTTACTACCGCATCTTAAACACGGATTGTTGGGGCTGTAGGCCTGATCGTGACAAAGAAAGTAACAGTGACGATAGTAATAATGGTGATTATGACAATGATGATGACTATTGTAGGATCAAAGACCAATGAAATTACTCTATCGAATGACTGACAGCCAATCAGAGGGTCTTACCAAACGACAATAACCAATCAGCAGTTACCTGTTCGTAAGCACAGAAGCCACAGATCATCCTATTGGCTAGTTTCATCTCATGTGACTCGTTCTCCTCATGGCAGTGGTCACATGGGTAGGCCTTCCCACAGCACGGAAATCTGAGTGTGCGTACGTGTGTGTGTGTGTGTGTGTGTACGTGTGTTCGTGTGTGTGTAAGTATCATGTAATATTTGATATATTATATATGACATGATATAGGTTATATATATATATTACGTAAATATATCTGCATCATATTGTTTGTACTAATTCACATTTGTTTCAAATTGTAATGAATGAACGAAAGAATAGATGAATGAATGAATAAATGAATGAATAAATGAATGAATAAATGAACGAATGAACGAACGAACGCACCTAAACCAACGAAAACTTTTCCTGAAATGTCTACAAGTTCCGAAAGCAGGCAATGGCTTTCCATCCTGAATGGCCGGGTCTTTAACTGCTTTCACTCGCATATTATCGCTCGTCGTCGTCTTGATTTTCGTTGATGTTGTTGTTGAGATTGTTGTTGGGTCTGTGATGATGTGGCGATGATAATGATGCGGCAATAATGGTAATGATGATGATGTGGTGATGATGTGGTGATGATGACGATGTGGCAATAATGACGATATGATAATGATGATGAT